TATCAAGTATTGGGCCTGAGCAGTTAACTACACAGCAAGTAGAATGTTTACCTTGCACATGGGTTACTCAGGATCAATCCCTGACCCTCCACATGTTCCTCCAAGCCCTGCCAGGGGTGAACTCTAAGTGGAGGGCCAGAATAAGCCCTGAGCATCACTGGGTGTGGTCCCCAAATAAAATAAAACCAAACAATACAAAATCAAGTATTACATTAAGGAGATAACTGAAAGACTGGAACATATGAAAGAGTCCTGGGTTTGATCGCTGATACTGTATGGTTTCCCAAACACCTCTGGTAGTGACAAGTGTATACCATGCAAAAGTCAAGTGTTACAATATATCTGTAACTCCCCCAAAAATTTTAGTGGGGAAAATATTAATTCACAGTTGCGGCAAAATCCAGAAGGTATCTAGCAACACATTAGTATTAAATGCACAACATATTCATTGAAATTCTATGAATCATAAATGAAAACAAGAAAAATAGTAAGAAATTCACTGGTGGTTGAAAAGAGTCATTGATTTTAGAAAGTCAATATTCATTAATATACATATTAAATAAAACTCCAATAAAGTATTTGTGAAATTTGATAAACTGGTACTACAAGTTAACAGAATTCTAATGAAGGGTAGAAAATTAGTTGTGACACTGATTTTCAGACCTCAGGTAAATCTACAGAAATTAAGGCCATGCATACCTACAAAGGGAAAAGAGAGACAGAGGTACATACCCATTAAAATTTGAGAAAAAAAATGATATGTTCACATCACAAGTCTTGAATTATATCTACAAATTAAGAACTTTGCAACACTTCCTTTCAGCATGCCCTCTAACACATTGCTTGATAAACAACACACTTCCACTTTCAGTTATTGACATACAGTCGGTTGTTTCCAGAACAAGTATTCAATCCAAATGGAGTCAGTGGATTTTTCTCTTTTAGATATTTGGAGGTGAGGTCCAGAAAAATGCTTATGTTTATCTCAGGGACATATTCAGAAGACTACCATCTAACATGCTCTGTTCTAAGGGGAATTCAACCTTAAGGACTATGTATCTCAAGGAGATAATCCACTGACAAAAAGAGCATATGTAGATGCTCTATACCTCCAAAATTCCTAAAGCTGACAACCCAGGAAAAACAAGAAAATCAACTGAGAAAATTGAGTAGAAGTCACCAAGCTCAATGAGTGAAAGCAATAACGCAGAAGAACCAACTCTCATGTAACAGCTCAGTAAATCCTCGGGTCATAACTTTATCAACATCATTATAAGATATATATTGTAACAAGCAACATAAAGCGAATTAATTCGTGCCTGCTAAGGGAACAGGCTGAGGGGGGAGGCAGGGACACTAGAGACACTGGTGGAGGTAAGTGCACATCTGTGGTAGGATTGGTGTTGGAGCATTGAATACTTGAAAATGCTGTATTGTAAACAACTTTGTAAATCATGGTATTTAAGTAAAGTTAAAAACAGAAAATTCAAGTGGGTGAAAAAAAAAAGCATATGGGAGAGCATGAGAGCCAGGCAGATCTCTATTCCTGATGGCTTTTCACATCTGTACTCAGAGCTGCCTATTTTCATTTCTATTTTCCTTGCAGTCCTACATAGCTGTCTTATTTCATTATTATAAGCTCATTTCTCCTCCCCTCTCTTGACTCTTCCCTCCCCTTTCCTATTCCTCCTTCTCCTTCCATCTCCTCCTCTTCTTTATTCTTGCTTTGTATTCTTTTTCATTTCTTTTATTCTCTCCCCCCATCTCTCCCTTCCTTTCTTATTACTAATTTGAGCAGTATTGGTTATTTTTAAACAAACGACTTAGATAATGAAGGACCATTTATTATTATTAAATTTCCTTTGTCCCTAATGAATAAATATGAGAATGACCAACTTTATAAAATACTATAGACTATACCTTATTCTTTATATGGTATCCCTTTCTAAATTTTTAGTCAGTGACCTCTATATTTCTAAATCTGTAAAAATAGTTCTAAAGTTTTACTCAGTCTGAACAGGGAAGAATACACTTGAACTATTTTGTCTGATACCGGTTATGATGGCAGTGTATCTGTAGGTTGCTGATAGTATTCATACTACAAACTACTCCTTTCCATGAAATGATTTTTTTCATGTGACAAAAGAAACTTATGACTACTGCTTGGTATATTTTCTTGGATTTTCAGTTTGACCTTACAATTTTACATCCAAACCATGTTGTCTTTGAAAGTGTAAGGAGTATAATTAATAATTATACTGAGATATCAGGTATAAATAGATACTATAATAATCACATCAGGATGCATCTTCATTGTAGTTGTTATGCAAATAAGGCTAAGCTGTAATAAGACATTTGGAGGGTTTTATTTTAATGCTATTTAAAAGGAGTATTAAAAAACGATGTTATATCTTTGAAATGTAAGAAGCAATGTATGTCCACGGCCATTTGTCCAACATGTGTTACCAACTTTACCTTAATTATTAAACTGGTTTGGGCCACACTCTGCAGTGCTTAGGGGATATATCTGATTTTGTGCTAAGAGATCACTCCTGTGGTGCTAAAGAATCATGTGGTACTCAGTTTTTGAGTATTGAACCAGGGTCACCATATACAAAGCAAGTACCTTAACTCCTTGATCCTTAAAATAAATTAAAATGTATTTTTTCTTAGTTCTTTTTCTAATTTTCAAAGTATAAAAATCTATTTAAAAAATTTCCACCTATACCCATGAAGGTATAGAACAATATTTTTTATACTTTATAAATAATAATTTTGACCTTTATTCCTTTTTATGAGCAGGACTCAGATTTTCTTCTTTTTTTTAAAAAAGGAAAAATTATATGCATAATGAAATTACAGTTAGAATCCCCAAGTATTAATCACCATTTGGGAAAAGCCAATTAAAGTAGAAAAAAGTATCATTTATATATTATCATCTTTATATATTATACTTTTATAAATGCAACACGATAAATCTGTTATAAATTGTACATTAAAGATCTTCTTATAAAGTGATTAAAAGTAGAGTAAGTATAGGTTATTTAAGTATTTACAAAAATGTTTTAACTTCTTATAGAAAGGTTTTGGCACTTTCTTCTTCAATGTGATATTTTGTTTAATATTGCATATCTTTAGAAAATTTTAAATCTATTTCCACTCAGTATTAAGTCAGTAAATACACAAAATTGATGAATTTTTAAAAAATATTTTGTTTTCTTTAAGTCTTAAGAAATTGTTTGCTATGAAGTTCATGCCCAATTCAATCAGCCTAATCAGTGGCTGAATAAATAGCAGTACTCCCACATTAATAAGGTAAAGGTAAAGGTAAAGATAAAGGTAAAGGCCCTCCCGTTGATCGTCGATTTGCTCGAGTGGGCCCAGTAACGTCTCCATTGGAGACTTTGTTGTTACTGTGTTTGGCATATCGAATACTCTCGGTAGCTTGCCGGGCTCTCCGAGAGGGGCGGAGGAATCGAACTCGGGTCGGCCATGTTGGCCGCTTGTAAGGCGAACGCCCTACCGCTGTGCTATCGCTCTAGCCCTTATTAATAAAAAAAAGAAATTGCTGGTGATCTTAAGCTATCTTATGATATACTAAAATTTCAGAACACGTGCTGCTTTTCATTAGACTGTTTCTCAAAAAAATATATAAAATCATGTTATTATTGTAATTCACATCAAAAATGATAGAATTATTTTCTTCCAGGAAAAAAACAAATCTTTTTTTGTATACATCACTACTCACTATTTTAGTAGACTACATTCATCATCATTAAAATATCTAATATAGAATTGTGTGCATGTATGTATGTTTATGTATGCTTAAATGTTAAATGCTTAAATGTTAATTAGGCAAATATTTTGTTTTTATTTTGTTAGGGTAGTAGGGTGTTTAACCCATGAGCTTGAACATACAAAACACATATTTTACTATTACATTATATCATAGACTGCAAATGTTTCATTTTTTAAAAATCCATTGATTATTATAGTAGTCATTGTGTTTACTTACCCTGAAAGTTTACAAGCAGAGCAGGTGTGATGTTGAGATATCAGCTATTTTCAAAGGGCATTACCGTTTCTGGAATATCAAGTTTCTTACACTTAATACCTTGAAATATTTAATGGTTATTAAACTAATAAGCATGTTATCTAAAATATATTATTCTATTAATTTTCATATTAGTCAGTTAATTATGTTATGTTATGCTTTTAATGTAAAATCTGTATATTATTTACCAGTAAATAGAGTGAAGAAAATATGTCTGCTCCTGTGAAGAAGTCATAAACGTAAAAAATTAAGTAAATTGATTGCTTATTCATTTAAAAAATCAGAACTGAAAGAACCCTGTTCAAAATTCATGGAGAGCATAGAAATGAAATATCAATACAACTGTATTGATATCTCAATTGAAGGCATTTTAATTTCACTTGCAATTATTGACTGAGGGTTCCTATCATAGGAGGGGAAAGGAGACCATTGTCTCTGACCCAACAAGCAGATAGCACACACAGGAAAATAAGTTAAAATTAAGTCAAGCCATACTTGCCAGTGTAGATTTGAAAAAATACACATTACAAGGGATCTGAAAATTAGGAGATCCTACTAACCAAAATAGTAGGATATTTCCAATGTTTGGGAGCTTGAATTGTTTTGAGAGAAGTGTATACAGAATCAGATAGGAAGACAAATCGATGTATGTCTTAAGTGTCTACTAGTGGAGCAGGACATGTAAGAAAAGTGAAAGGAGAAAAAGCATATGGTATATCTTAGGTATAAAGTGACTTCTTTGAGGAAAATTTGAGGCAAAGAGTAGTGGAAACTGATTTAGGTAAGGTGATTAGAAAGATGATATAATGCCAACCAGACCATAAGTGAATTAGGCAACAAGTGAATTAGGCAACAACCAAGACCATAAGTTAACTAGAAGTTTAAGTATGCAGTAGTGTCAGAACTTGGAACTAATTTAGTCAAATAAAAATGATTTTTTATTAAGTGCTGATTTACACATTTTCTTCTTTATTATGTTGAATATAAAAATGTGAATATATTTAAAATCACAAGCTTGCTTTCTCTTAAATTTTAACATAGTATATTATTATTGTTAAATTTCAACATAGTAAAATTTAACATAGTATATATTAACATATTGTATTGTTTCAGACTTGTAAACTGAAGGTCATATAAGTATATAACAAATGAATTACACAAAACTAAAATTTTTGCTTTTCTTCATAGAGGTGCACAGCTGAGACAGCAATGAACGGTGATAGTTTTTTCATATCTTGTTGCAAAATCAGTAATTCCTTTTCCTCAGTTCCATAGAAACTGTCTAAGACAAGAGTCACATACAATTGACCACCCTTTTTTTTCTCATGCACATCTATGACTCTGGGAAAACTTGAAAGAAAAGTCAGATAGCTAGCAGACGTCCTGGACCTAGAGGTTACTTCCTGCAGGGATCCTTACTAGTGCTTCTGCTAGAGTGTTTTGTTGACTAGTTTACTTTATTTATTCATATGCAAATTTCAGCATGATCACCAGGTATGGTGAGAAGAAATATTCACAGCTGAAAATATTAAAAATATAGAAAGTATATTAAGAAAGTTAATTCTCTTTAGGAAAAATAACTTTTATTTATTTCCCCAAATTTGGTTTAGATATTTTAAGTACTGCATTTAACCAGAAGACTGAAAAAAATGATAAATAAAAATTTTTTCTCTGACAAAATTGTACTATATATGGATGTGTTTGTGCACGCGCTTATGTGTTCTTTCAAATAATGTCTATCGCAATACCGGAGCTCAGGAGGGGACCACTGAAAAAGAAGCACTAAATATGCATTATTCCCATGTTTTGCATATTTAGTGCTGAATGTCATCTCATGTATGCTCCTGTTGTAAAATCTAGTGAGATAATGATGACGTATACAGATGTGATATTTTAAAATGTTTATTACCTACTTTTGCTCTATTTGACATTGTTATAGAATTTTGTTTCTGTTATTTGTAAGACCAGCAAGAAAAAAGATGATGGTTATTAAATCACATTTTTACCTAGAACAAGAACAGGTAATTGATGTATTTCTCTGCTTCCTCTAGGTCCACAAGTTTCTTTGGCTTTCAATCAATAGTCTAGGAATCACAGCAAAAGTATCTTGGCTTTTAATGATTACCTGAATCATGAAGATTTAAAGCTGAATCTTTATTAACCAGTGGCTGCCAGTTCTTCCTGAGACCTACTTTTCTTATTAAGCACAATGGTTTGACCTAAACATGTTGCAAAAACTCTCCTTCTTCACTTGGTATTAGTTTAATAAGTTCTTATAATTTTATTTAAATTCTTCTTATTTGGAAAGTCAGTTAAATCACCAATCATTTGCCCCATGCATGCAGAAAAATATACAGTTGGGTGTTTTAAATTCTTTGAAGTTTCTATTGTCATACTACAAATATGCATGAAGAGTTTTAGTCAGTTAATATTACCAACAGTCAAATAAAAAGATAAAAGTAGTTACATTCTTTTATGTATGAGGGGAATAATTATAGTTTGGGCACCTGTGTTCATAAAGCAATGTAGTATTCTTTACATTAATAAAGCAAAGCATATTGACTGAAACTCTTAAGGGTATAATACAAAAATAAAGCTACTAAGAACTGAAGAAATGTTAACCTTAACTCCATTGTAATTTAGACCTGCCAACAAAATTATCAGCATAGTAATTTTAGAGATAATATTCTAGGTACTGCTTATAGTATTCCGCTTTTACTTAACGTAAATGAGCTTTCTCAAACAATCAAATATTTGCCCTGAATTCTACTTCAGGATGTTTGTATTTGTTCAACTAAAAGTTAAAGTCAAGTATTCAATCTCAGTGGTACTTGAGACAAGCATGCAATTAGGAAATTTGGAAATAACTGTATACCTAATGAAAATTAAGGAAACAATTTACTATTACAAAAAGTCAGCCTAAACGTCCGTTCTTATTTTGTCTTTCAAAAATATTTATTTCCTAGAATGTGTGATTTGGTGAATGTACATTTCGTTCACTGAATTTCATTTACAGAGAAACAAACATTACTTTTTTCTCTGAAGATTAATGTTACATACAATATAAAAGAGGTTTCTTTGAAAAAAGAATCACCAGAATGACTTCCTTGAAACTATTCTGTATTTCTAATCAGGTAAAATGTATAAAAAATTTTCATGCTTCCTCAGGACTAGCTATATAGATTAGCAAAGAAAATGTTGTGCCATAGAACAGATCACACAGTATAATAGTTATTTAATCAAGAGTTGAAATAGTTAAAAGAAATTGCATAAGAAACTTTATATTATAATCCAATGTAACTAAAACAATTAGTTTTATGTTTTGACATTAGCCAAAGATAGTGTAATATTGGCAATATTGTATTTTCATTTTCTCTTCGTTTCATTTTTTTGTACACCTATTCACCTACTTAAAATTGTGAGCAATCTACTCACTACATAGCCAACCTAGTAATAATAATTAGCTGAAGATAATTTCAAGTTGCATAATGAGAAAAATTTTAAATTTTCTAAAGACAAAAAAATACTATCAAGTGGAATCGTTGATTTGGAAATTTTCTATCATCATTATCATTTAATGCTTTGTGCTTTCTTTATAGGTACAAATTCATTGTAAAGCAACGCTTGTGGAACTTTTCATTTAAATTTCCAACTGTGAATGCTAGTTGACATTGAATTTGCTCAGCTGTGTTATAGAGTCTGTCTTTATAAGGCAAAACATTTCTTAAAGACAGGTCACCACAAAAATTTTGTGTAACTAAGACATCATCTCCAAATTTCTTCAATCATTGTCATATTTCATTTATGAAGGTGCTTTTTTGGTAGTTATAAAGGCAGAAAAGCTGTGTTTACATATAAAGTCTTGTTCAAACTACATGGTTTTAAATTTAATTTTATGAATGTCAATTATAATGTGTTATTCTTTAAAATATTAAATTGATGTTGAAATATGTGATCTATCAAAATATGCTAATTTATACAGTGATGAATGAAAATTACATGGTCAATACTAAAAGATAATAAAAAGTCCTCTGCCATTGTCCATGTCTTATCTATTTCTATAAAGTCTATGGGGGAGAAATATTCTCAGGGGAAAAAATGAAGCTTTACTGCAAAAGAAATGAATGCAAGAAATGGCACTTTAAGTAGTGAAGAGATGTGAAGCATTGCAACTTCATAGCCTGCTAAGGAGCAACAGCTGTACCTAATTTCAACTTGACGTGCTTCAGATCTCATATTCATATAGGTATTTAATGATCCAAACATAATGGTTCTATATAGAATAATTACTTATATGAAGGAGCAAACTTCATACGCATTCCTTTTTAAATGATCCTTCAAGAGAAAAACTGCACTGGCTCTTTGAACAATGAATAGTCTCTCTCACCAGACCAAATGTTTGGGGCTAAATAGCTTATCTTTTATGAGACAATTGTAATAGTGCTGAGGTTACTTCTTTTTGACAGTCTCTTCTTGTCTCCCTCCTGCCCATGAGAGCCAGTACAATGAAAACAGGTAGAATGCCAATCCGATCATTAAGTCATAGTGGTAGATGGTTGCAAGAAAGATCAGAAACAAAAGAAAATATGATATTTTAGAGTGCATATATCGTGAAAGGAGTGATTTGCTGCTTTCAGCTTGACTTTCTTGGGCAAAGAGACTTGTAGACACAGAGCTCTCGGATTCCTTGTCACCTGAAGAGCACAGTGATTGTCCAGAGTTTATTAATCCCTCATTTTCATGGTATGCCTTCCCCATATTTTCAAAATCTCCACTGATCAAAATCTTTGACCCTGGAGATTGTTCCATATTGTAGTCTCCTTGTTGACAAATCTGGTCTTCACATTTATCCTTTCTATATCCTGCTGTCTCTATTTCTGAATTTTTGGACATATCTCCAGGTTTAGAATCAGGATAACATTTCTCAGCATGTTGCACTGCATTTGTTGGATTGTAATTATATTCTGACTTCATAGAAATAGATTGGAGACTCGTAGTACTAACAGTGTTCTCTCTTGCAAATGCCTGTTTATCAGACAATACTGACATTTTAGAGTGGGATTTGGAGATGTAAGAATCATTAGAAGAAGATCTATTATTATCTGGGTTAAAAGCAGAATGAATAACTGTATCTGTTTTCTTTGGTAATTCCTGGACCTGTTCATGACCTTTATTTTCTGGAAATGTGTTTTTGTCTGATGGCAACATTCTCAAATGAAAATCAAGTTGCGAGGCAGCTTTCTGATTGTCTGTGATGACCTGTAAGGATTCTTCCACAAATGTTTTATCTCCAATACTACATTTCTTCGTGTCATATATCTTCCCAGGAGGGCACCTGGATTTGGTTTCTTCTGTGCCTATTTCATCTACATGTACCTTACAAATACCTAAACATGATTCCTTTTTAAAATCATTGTCATAGATTACACCTTCTGTATCCCGTTGACAAAGAGTATAATGTGAATTATCATCTCTCCCTTCATGCGGATCAAACACTGTTCCCTCTACCTCCATGGGCCTGTCACTTTGTGCTGTCTCTTGAGGTAGCTTAGCAATTATTGCTTTTTCTCTAGCAGACATGCTTTCTAGAGTAGTTTCTGATGTTGTCTTAATTATATAAGCTGTACCTGCTTCTGCTTTCTCAGTAACACCACGATCAGCTAGAGAAGACAGTTCACAGATTGCTGTTTCTTGGCAGGTAAACAATTCTTCTGTAGGAGTAGCTTTCAAACTCCTTGTAGTATCTCTTTTTTCCCACGTGTCTTGACAATCTGCTAGTTCTTTGATCTGTTCGGTTCTACTTGTCTTACTCATTTTTGTTTGTCCCTGACTTTCTAGGACATTGCAACTATGCTTGTGCTGTGTTTTCTCTTTCTGGTCTTCAGGATGAACCCATGATTTTTCTTTTTCAATTTGGGACAGATCATCATTTCTCAAAACGTTCCCATTCTTTGGTGACCAAACTTGATCAGTTGTCGCTCCTAAAGTGGTGCCTTTAAAGCTCAAAAGATCACACTCTGGGCGTGTTAACACAGTTTCTTTCCAACTTAGATTTGTCTGTAGTGAAGAAAACATATCTTCTGTGATGGTGTGACCAGAAATTGTATCTTTTCTTGGCAGAGAAGCTAGGTCTTGGTTACTAGCACCAATCCTTTCCATACTTAGTTCAGAGTGACCAGTCATTCTATCTTGGTCTTGAAAACTTATATTTGATTTTTCATTAATGACTAAGTATGTTCTTTTTCCCTCCCCTTCCTCTTCCTCACTCTTGCTATAAACTTTCTCAGAAGAACCCTTTCCTGTTGAGTCTTTCAAGTGGGACTCCCCTCTTAAACATTCCCAGTCCTTTCCTTCTGTTGCCTTGGCCTCTCCTTCGTGCTTCTCATTAACATTATCTGCCACTGGTTGGTTTGAGGAAAGAAAATATCTTTGCATACTACCCTTCCCTTTGGCTAGATTAGCATTATCATCCAGCATGTCTCTGCCATTGGTATGTAGCCTTACATAGTCATCACCACTGGTATCATCATCCAACAACTGTTTGATTTCTTCCAAACTGGGAGTAATTTCCTCTGATGGTTGATGTGCGCACTCATTTTCTTTGTGGTAAAGACCTCTGTTTAGTGAGTTTTCAACTGATGAATTTGGAGACAATGGCCTTTTAAACAAGTCAATGCATATTTCCTCGCAGACTTTTTTCTTCTCTAGCTCCTCAGCTTTGTTTGGAAAATCGACTGAACCTGTTGAAAATGAATCCTTTGTATCTCTGGAAGCAGTTCTTCTGGTTCTTATTAAATGTTGATTTATCTTAAGAGACGAAAAGAAACAAACAAAAAAACGATCAAATTATTTTAAATATATGAAAATTAGAAAAGTTTCATTAACATGGTTAATAATTCTCTGATCGATTTTCTAGATTTATCACCGGTAGATTTCCTAGATTTATTTCATTTGTAACTTTTGCAAAAATTCTGGAACCTGGATGTTTTGGGGAAATCCTCGTAGGTTATGACTTAGGAATGAGATTAGTAAGAAAAGGGACCAAAATTAATCATTCTCCTTCCCAGTCTCCAAATATCACATTGTATTATTCAACTATTCTTGCTTGTCATTGCATTTTCTCCTCACTTAGGATATACACATTGATAGCTCCATGCTAATCAATTAGAGAGCCGCTCCTGGGTGCCCCTTGCTGCATTTACACTTGCTGTAGGTGCCCCTATTACAGTTTCTCTTATTAATATGTTTTCTGCAAAGCCTCTGCAAACTATTAATAGCAAAACGTCACTCAAAGAAAAGTGAGGGAGTTAATGTCTCTGCAAATTCTGTTTTAATGACCCTCTGCCAACTGGTACTCAAATGTATTTGAGCTCTTCAGTGATGCCAACTGTCAGGATTTAACAGTGAGATGCCTGTGTGTTTTTTTTCCTCCTCATAACTGACATTTGCATGATCTCAATAATTATATGCAAATCTTACGTTTTCCCCTTCTTCTCACATAAGGCTCATGTTACTTGTCAACTGCACAGCTGTCTTGTAAGCCAATGCCTGTGGGTTCCACAGATTTGGTTGTATTTCCATCTATTATAGAGCTTCATTGTTTTATGCATTAACGTCAGCATGGAGCAAATTAGCATCTAAATTACAGCTCCCTGTTCATTTATTGGACGTACAATCTCAGGAACTTCTAAATAAACTTTTATATTTGAGCCTGCTCATTGTAATGAGGTGCATTGGAGGAGTATGTGATTTTTCAGACTCTTTCATTATATTCTATGGTTTGAAGAAAAAAATGGCGATGTTAACTTTCAGCTGGTGAAAATCCTCACAATGGGTGACAACTTTGTAGTTTCTTAAAGTTGGAGCATAGTAAATTGCATACTTTAGTGGTGCAGTTTCTATATATCACTATAGAAAAGGTGGAATGTGTGGGAAAGAGATGAGCTCTATTTTTTTTTTCTGTTTCAGCACTGACACTTGAGGAGGCAAATGTCATTTTAATCTTAGATGATTATGAATACGTGTATCCTAAGAATATGAGCTCCAGCCACATACAGTAAAGGATAAATTGCATTATGTGACTCATTTACTCTTATTCCTTCCTTTGTAATAAAAATGCTATCCAAATCACCAGCCTCCGCCCAATTCCAAATAGATTGAATGTTCACCAAGTGTGAAATTCATGATAAAAAATTTAATACTAAATTGTACATTACTGAATTTGTTTCCTGTTCAAAAATCATGGCACAGGCTGTTTTATCCTTATTTGGTAGTTTAAAACTCCCCAATAACATAGAACTTTGAGATTTTTATAAAGATGTGAGTAATTTTTTTTAATGCTGCTTAGGGAAAAAAATCAAACTTGTATTGGAAGAACCCTAACAATCACCTAGTGCAGCCCTCTCATTTTATAGAGTTTATGTTAAGTATACACTTGTCACAAAGATTAGAAATGCATATCAGGATACAACCACTTCTTCTGTAATTCCTGCAAACTATTACTCAGAGCCTCTGGTAAAAAGATAAGAAATGAATGTCATTAATTTACCACTGCAGCGACCAGAAGGGAAGCACTGAAATCAAAGTGCCTTGTTGATCAAGCTACAGATCCAGAAACAGAATAGCTGTGCTTTCACATTTGTAAATTATATTAGTTGAAGCCATTTAAGGCATTGCAGCATCTCTGAAGCATAAATGGATTCATCTTCTCTAATACTGTTGCAACCAGAACACTTACCATCAACTCTAATTCTTTTTCATTGTGTTCATCATGTTCCCTGTTTACATCTTTTACATTTTGATTACTGGCTTCCAAGTCTTTCTTGTCTTCATGAGAACAAACAATTGCTGGAATAGAGGTATCTGAAAATTTAATATAATTGTAACTATGTGAGATTTCTGTAATTGTAGAGTTTAGGAAAACATAAATTTGGTTTAAAAATTAAATATTACCTGTAATATTTGAATTCTCAAACTTATTCTTATCTGATGTTACTGATGATTCTTCTTTGCTGTTAAAAGTAAAACAGAGCATTATTTTTTTATGATATTGCATCATCTCAATATTTTTATGCCGGAAGAAATTTAATGAAGTAAATCAAATAAATACCATATAACTCTCATTTTTTCTTGCATTACTTTATTTTAAAAAATTAATTTGATCACTCAAAATGATGTAATAGTAAACATTGTAGACTTTTTCAAAATTCACACTATTTCTTTTTTTAAACTTTTATTGATTTTTTTTATTTGGAATGTTTTATTTATTTATTTATTTATTTAATTTTTATTAGTGAGACACCATGAGGTACAGTTGTAGACTTACAAATTTTTGTGCTTGAGTTTCAATTATACAATGATCAAATATCCATCCCTCCACCAGTGCCCATTTTCCACCACCACAGATCCCAGTATCCCTCCCACCTCCCACCCCCCCATCACACCCTGCCTCTGTGGCAGGGCATTCCTTTTTGTTCTCTCTCTCCTATTGGGTGTTGTGGTTTGAAAAAGAAGCAATGGGTGACAATCATGTTTGGTCTATAGTCCACTTTCAGCATGTTTCTCCCACCCTGGGAGAATCCTCCAAAGACCCTTTATTTGGTGCTCCCTTCTCTATCTGAGCTCCCTTTTCCCCTAGCATGTGTGGCTGGCCTCCAAGCCATGGAGTAAAATTCCTGGTACTAATCTCAGCCATTCTTGGGTGTTAGTCTCCTATTTTGTTACTTTATGTTCCCCAGATGAATGCAATCTTTCTATGTCTATCCCTTTCTTTCTGAGTCATTTCGCTTAATATGATACTTTCCATGTAGTACCACTTGTATGTAAATTTCATGACTTCGTCTTTTCTAACAGCTACATAGTACTCCATTGTGTAAATGTACCAAAGTTTCTTTAACCAGTCATCTGCTCTCGGGCACTCAGGTTTCTTCCAGATTCTGCCTATTGTAAAGAGAAAATTCACACTTTCTAAGTGTGTTGGTAATATATATGTAACATATATAACATATTACATATATCATCTAACTTATATAAGTAAGTAAAGGCCCTCCCGTTGATCATCGATTTGCTCTAGCGGGCCTAGTAACGTCTCCATTGGAGACTTTGTTGTTACTGTGTCTGGCATATCGAATACGTCACAGGGAGCTTGCCAGGCTCTGCCGTGCGGGCGAGATACTCTCGGGAGCTTGCCGGGCTCTCTGAGAGGGGTGGAGGAATCGAACTCGGGTCGGCCATGTTGGCTGCGTGCAAGGCAAACGCCCTACCGCTGTGCTATCGCTCCAGCCCATAACTTATATAACCAAAGTAAAATCATATGTAAACTTAAATTGTTCCATCATTCAAGAATTTAATCTTTGTGAGAGAATATTTTTCTTTTGGTTTAAATGCAAAGTTTTATGAACTGACAATCTATTTTGTTATGGGTATTGGATTCTGAGGTTTAAATTATTTGTTTATAAGTGCCCCATTTTATGGAGATTCTTCTATTTATTTTGATAACATTAATGGTTTGTGTCTACAAATAAGGAGGAGTAGAAACAAACTTATTAAAAACTGAAAGTTAAATTTTTACTCAATTAAAAATTTTCATGTCTGATGTACAGGATAATTTTATAACTGAAGCTTCAATATCACCTTTATAATTATTCATGCTTTATCCCCTTTCTTATTATATGCTGTATACTGAAAAACACAGATTTTTAAAAAATATTTGGTAATATTTGTGAGATCATTAGAATTTAGTTTTGTTTTCAAAACTAAGTAGGGGAAATGCTATTGAAAATATTTTGTATATAGGTTTGTCACTGATAAACCTTTAAGGAATTATTGTTCTAGTATTCACAATTTTTATACTGTCTTATCTCTTATACTATCTTATATCCAGTGATTTGTCACAATGATTTTGTTACAATAAAATAAATCTAGAGACTTAGAAATGGCTGATAAACTTTATTGAGAAGCCTAGCCTTTGTTGCATAGGCAACTTTGATCAAAACCCAAGAAAGAATCATATTACAACAAATCACAAGAAATGCGCTAACTCTTCTACTTTGACTATATAGTAATAATAATAATAATACTAATAATAATAATAATAATAAAGGCCCTCCCGTTGTTCGTCGATTTGCTCAAGCGGGCCCAGTAACATCTCCATTGGAGACTTTGTTGTTACTGTGTTTGGCATATCGAATACTTCACAGGGAGCTTGCCAGGCTCTGCCGTGCGGGCAAGATACTCTCGGTAGCTTGCCAGGCTCTCCGAGAGGGGCGGAGGAATCGAACTCAGGTCAGCCATGTTGGCTGCGTGCAAGGCAAACGCCCTACCGCTGTGCTATCACTCCAGCCCTTTGACTATATAAGAAGGTTATTAATCATTTTATATATTTATAATGCTTCTAGCTTTACTAAAATTATTTTGCACTTTCCTGTGCACCCATAAATTAAAATGCTTCCACACAAATAGAATTTTATTAGAAAAATATAGTATTTGCATAATTAGTTCTTACTTAGTCTATCATTAATATTGTTTAATGAGGCCAATAAATGAATACAATTTTTTGTATATTTGAACTACAGATTTAGCAGAACTTTTTTTCTTAAGGAGCATAATGCCTGTGTGTTTGAAAAGAGTAAAACCATTGATGGGGCTGAGAGATAATAGTAGCTCGTGCACCAGACCCAGCTTAATTCCTGGGACCATGCAGTTTCCCAAGCATTGGTGGGTGCAGGCCTGGAGGTTCCAGTATCACAAGGATTGCCTGCATATCCCCAGCACTGCAAAGTCCAGAAGTATTGCATCTTTGAGCCTTGTGCTAAAGAGATAGCATGGGTCACAGGATCGCCAGTGGGACCTCTGAATCCCTTGAGCACTAGTTGGGAGGCCAGAATAAAAATTTTAAATTTAATAAAAACATATAAGCCATTGAACATTATTCTTTCTTCCTCTTTATTCAAATGACAATATTACTTTTTTTATTTGTAAGGAGGAAACAACTGCCATAGCCTATTAAAGTCTTCGTTTTTGTTTTTTGTTTTTGTTTTTTAACTTTATGGATTACACACAGGGCTCTCAACATTTACTCCTGGTCTGTGCTCTATGGTCACTCCTGGTCAGGGAGCAAGTAAGTATAGTGCACAGCATAGAATTGGGTTAGCTTGCAAGGCCTTAATCCTTATACTATCTGTTTGTGCTCTGCCCTAACAAAAATCATCCAAATTATTTCCCTAAGTTGTCTCACTAAAATTCTATTATTATTATTATTAATTTTAATGGCTGCATGAGAAAGAAGTAAAAAAATAAAACTGGCTTAGAGAGGAAGTGAGTTTGGCCACCTGGGAGTGCTTTGAACTAATTTCTGGCTCTCAACTCCTGGTCTGTGGACCTCATAAGGTGGTGCCAGGGGTTGAACCAAGGTAGACTACACACAAAGTAAATATACTGGTTCAGCAATTCACACACTATTTTCTGAATGCAAGGCTCTGTCCCAGTAGAAAACCAGTAGGACTGTACTACTGTACAAGAAGAGAGACATCCGTGACATTGGCAACTATCGCCCCATCTGCCTGTTGTCTGTCATCTACAAGCTGTTCACTTGAGTCATCCTGAATAGGATTGGCAGAACACTAGATGAAGGATAACCATGCAAGCAAGCCGGGTTCCAAAAAGGATTCAGCACAATTGATCATATCCACATGGTAACCAAGCTCATTAAGGTTTCTCGGAAGTTCAAGATGACGCTCTATCTAGCGTTCATTGATTTAAAGATGACCTTTGATTCTGTTGAGACTGAAGAAGTCATTGAAGCACTAGCCAAACAGGGCATTCAAACTCAGTACATCAGGATCCTCTGCGAGTTGTATTATGGATTCATCACCAGAATCTCACCGTTCTACAAAGAAGTGATCATCGATATAAAGAGAAGGGATCAGCATGGTGATACTATTTCACCGAAACTCTTCAGTGCCACCCTCGACAACATCATGCAACGACTGGAATAAGAAGGAATGGGAGTGAAGATAGATGGTGGGCAACTACACCACTTCCGCTTTGTTGATGACATCGTTCTAATAGCACCAAACATTAGCCAAGGGGCACAAATGCTGTTTGACTTCAACCATGAGTGTGGAAAGGTTGGACTGCAGCTGAATCTCATGAAGACAATGATCATGAGAAACGGACTCGTTCCTGACATTCCATTCGCTCTCAATGGAACGAACATCTCTGAATGCAGGATTTAAATGTGTACCTAGGTTGAGAACTCAATATGATGAATGACCTGGCACCTGAGTTGCACAGGAGTTAGAGAGCGACATGGAACACCTTCAAGAGTGTCGAAGAAATAGCTAAGAGGATGAAGAATCTCCCGCTCGGGGCACATCTCTTCGATTCCACCGTTCTTCCTCCATTGGAAGGAAGATGCTTATGCCTCAGAGACCTGGGCCCTAGGAAAACAGGATGAGAATGCTATTCAGGTCTCCCAAAGAGGAATCTAAAGAGCTATGTTTGGAGTATTACACTTCGCTCAAGTGAGAGAAGGAACCTGGAGTTCCGACCTCCGTCGACCATAGAGAATCAGTGACTCTGTCTTGTTTGCCAAGGCATCAAAAATCAGATGGGCTGGACATGTAATTCGATTTGGAGATGACTGCTGGACTGGAACCATTACCACTGGATTCCACAGGACGTCAAAAGATCGCGTGGCTGTTGACTTCTTTGTCAAGACCCTGAACAAATGGTTTGAGGCTCTTTGTGTTCCTGGAGAGAGAAGACGCCATTGGTCTACACTAGCACGCAACAGGGACAAATGGAGATGTTACTGGTTCCCACTCAAGCAAATTGATGAGTAAGGGGATGTCAAGTGATCAAGTGATCAAGTGATTGAGAAATATTAAAGAACTAGTAAAATTAATGCATATACCATGTTCATGGATAGGAAAGAGATAGGCACCCTTAGGTGGTACTAATGAAGTAGTACTGAAGTATGAAACACTAATATGGAAAGTGTTCTAGTCAA